GATGCGGCCGCTCCAGCACCTAGCGAAAAATCCGGCGCCTCACGCGGTAGCTTCATCGGAGCTGCCGCTGTTATGGCTGTGATCTCGGTGTTTCTGGCTGTGTGAGTTCTAGAAGCCAATGCGGTTATGCTTTGAAGATTGAAAAATTTTGAATTATGTATATGCCGCTCAATTGCGTAATGCAATGAGCGGAAAATATATAATTTTTTTCAATGAGATTGATTTACTTTCTTTACTTTTCTCCCCGTAATTAAAATTAAAAACTAAAAACCAAAATGAGTTAAAATCATTAAATAATTCCCCAGGTGTTTCGTGATGTCATCATTCATCGCTCTCTCATACCCATGGTGTCACTTTTGCATATCGTGTCAAAGAACGACTATGTATACTAACATTTAGGATTAGAGGGCAGTCTCGAACACATCGACACCATGGAAACCTAAGACACTCGTAACATTAGTCTTACCGGATGTTTCTGAGTGTCATCTTCAGACTTGAGATGTCATTGACCCAATAACCGACCCAATAATCGAGACATCTTGATCATACTTCCATCATTTTTGCTTATCGTGTCACTATGTATACCAACCTCTAGGATCCGAGGGCAATCTCGTTGCTGTCCTTGAAAACCCATATTATGATGCCATGAAAACTTTGAGGTTAAATTTAAAAATACCCTCGAACCTTTCCTCTCGAGACTCGGGATGTTGTCTATCACTTTCTTGGACACGTTTATCGAAAACTGATCCAATAATCGAGATAACAAACCTTTAGGATCAACACACTTGAAAACCCAGGACACTTGCAAGCCGCCATGACTCATGCATGGTTAGTTCACCTAGACCATGGGCCATTGGTTAGATTTTTGTTGATTTTTTTTTTTTTTTTTGGTTAAATGAAAATCAAATCTGCATCCCAATTGCATCCTCTGTTAGGCCCATAAATAATTTTCATTTAAAAATAATAATTTCGATTTTAGTCCATATTTACCCATATTTTATTTTAAACCAATTTAATCCCATTTCTATTTTAATTTTATAATTTCTTCATTAAATATATGAATTTTCACACGTTTTAATTTTTAATCCAAAATAAAATTCCCACATCACTTTCAACATAAATTTAATTGGAAATCCATATTGGATAATGTCAACCGTTTAAAAATAAAAATAATAAATAAATAAATAGTGGATAATATTAACAATACATTTATTTAAAAGAAATAAAAAGAATAACAATAATGAACAAAAAGGCAAACGGAATTTGGCACCACAAAAAAAAAAAAAAATAATAATAATAATAATAAAACCACGTGGATTAAATTTATTTTGATATTAATGGATAAATTGGATTGGTCAATTTGATAGCATACATAAAGAGGAACAAATTATAAACAAAACGACCAAACTCCCTCGTGGGCTTCGAATTTTGGATGTCTAAAGCCATACACTCAAAATATACTCCTTTCTCCCACTCACCCATCACTCTAAAGTTATTCTTCCAAATATATTATATTATCGTTTAAATTATCCGCATCTCTTCAAAAAATTTCGATCACCCTAATTAAAAAAGCGGTCCATAAAATATTTGATTTAAGCTTTTGCCCGTTACGTATCGTCGTTAGTCTCACAAGTTGAGATCTCACATTGGTGAGGGAGGGGAACGAAGTATTCCTCAGAAGAGTGTGAAAATCTCTCCCTAGTAGACGTGTTTTAAAACTATGAGGCTGACGACGACGGTACGTAACAGGGTAAGACATATAATATTTGCTAATAGTAGGTTTGGACCGATACAAATGGTATTAGAGCTAGACACGAAGGAGTGTGCCAACGAAGATGTTTGGCCTCAAAGAGGAGTGGAATTGTGAGATCCCACGTCGGTTGGAGAAAGAAATGAAGCATTTTTTTATAAAAATGTGGAAAATTCTTGTTTTAAAACCGTGAGACTAACAATGATACGTAACAGATCAAAGCGGACAATGTCTTCTAATGGCATCAGAGCTAGACACCAAGTAGTGTGCCAACCAGGATGTTGGATTGTGAGATCCCACGTTGGTTGGAGAGAGAAATGAAACATTTTTTATAAATATGTGGAAAATTCTTACTAATAGACGCGTTTTAAAACCGTGAGGCTGACTATGATACATAATAGGTCAAAACGGACAATAAATTCTCGTGGTGAGTTTGGATTGTTACACTAGGAGTTCTCGATATACATCGTATGTGATAGGTCAAAGTAAAATTGGGACGAGAGGAAGATAGGAATAAGTTCTCGTGCTTCCCATCCCCATTCAAATGGGGACGGTTCACACCTTCAAAACGACTTTAAAATTTTGAGAGAGAATAATTTTCCATCAAATTTCACACAAAATTAAAAAGAAAAATTAATTAAAAATAAATAAATAAATAAAAAATGATTGAAATCAAGAAAAGAAGAAATAGAGTTGTGGGGCAGAGGTGAGAGTGTGTGCATGCATGATGTGGGGACCATAGCCCCATGTGATGCCATGTGGGTAACATCCTATTTCCCTATCCTCCGAAATCTAAATTAATAATTAAAAAAACATCCTCAAATTTTACCCTTTTATTTAATAAATATTTTAATAATATCCTTAAACTTTTAAATTAAAAAAATATATATATATATATTAATTTTGAGTCGAGAACATTAATACTTTTATTTAAAAAATATCTCTCAATTTTCAAAATTTCATTAATACCTTTAAACAATTTTAAAACTACATTTAAAATTTTTAAAAAAATTAAAAAAATAATTTACCACTCACAAAATAAAATAAAAATATTTTTAGATAATCTACAAGGTGTTGATAGACAGTTTTCAACCATATATTGATCGTGGAAATGTTAAATTTTATGGGTATTGTAACACCTTTAAGTATACCAGATATTGTCTGTTTTGATCTATTACATATCGTCGTTAGTCTCACAGCTTTAAAATGCGTCAAATATTGAGAGATTTCCATACCTTTATGTTTTATTCTCCTCTCCTATCAATGTGGGATCTCACAATCCGCCAGCCCAGCGTTCTTACTGGCACACTACCCAGTGTCTGACTATGATACCATTTATAACACTCTAAGTCACTGTTCCACGTGTTACTAAACTAGTAGTAATAATAAATAAAGTTGAGAATAACTTTAATCAAACACCCGTTTGATATTATCTCCGTTGCCCATTTTTTACTATTATTTTTTAAAAAGTCGAGCAAAAAACTTTAGGGTCGTTATCAAATAGATGTAGATGATTACCGACGAGATTTAAAATTGTTAAAAACCCGAACAAAATAGAAATTAATAACGATTGGACGAGAAGAAGTACATGATATAGGGTGGAATAAATTGAATGGTTGGAAGTTTAGAAGGCATTGAGAAGCAATGAGTTTGTTAGAAAGAACCAATGATGAAGACATATGATTAGCTAAGCCCTTTCTTGTCTGCCCCTTTTCCACTTAACAAATGCTCTCCCAACACTTTTATACATGCTTAAACATGCTCTCTTCTTTGCCTATTTCCCCTTTTTCATAATTTTTTTTTTTAAAATGGTATAAATTTTATTTATTAATTACTATTTTTTAAGCATAATAAATCTCAAATTTGGACGTTTTTTTTTTCGGTATCTGTTTATAAAGTCTGTCTAATTCGACTCTAAACTATTAAAATTATTTGATAAATTTTTAAGATTTTAATTTTATTAGATAAATATAATTAGAGAAGTAATTTTTATAATCTGTATTTTTCGTTTTTTTCCTATCAGTAAATTATTGACATGAATATAAAATTTTAATATTATGTTTAATAAATTATTTTTATTTAAATTAGATATAAATTTGAATTATTGAAACTAGTATTCTTTAGATAATTTATTTTTATTAAATTTACAATTTTGTTAGTTTTATTTCAGCTATTTAATATATATATATATATTTGCAATAATTTATTTATTTAGTATTTATTTGTGTAGGATGAAAGGGACAAATATCCATTTCTTCAACCAAGAGACATCCAAACAAAGGTGTTTTTCTTATGTTTAAACATTGTCGTCAATTTCGATTTACATATTTAAAAAAAAAAAAATTAATAACCTTTTACTTATTTAATAATTAATTTTTAATTAAAAAAACAATTTAGAAAAACAACAACGTTAAATTCTTAAATAGTCTCTCCAATCAATATTAAATTTAAATTTTTAATAAAAAAATATAACATTTTATTTTCCACTCCATTAAAAATATTAAATTACAAGTTTAAATTTTTTTAAACATCATAATATTAATTTCAAAAATAATATAAGGAATTATTGAGGATAGGGAGAAATGGATATAAACAGTGGATAATAACAAAAGGAGAATATAAAAAAAAAAAAAAAAATTAAAAAAAGTTCCGAAAAAGAGAGAAATCCAATGATGGAATGGGAAAGTGAAATCGGGTTCGGTCATATAACCCACCAACAACCCAATCCCTTCACGTGGACAGCGCGTGATCCTCTTTTGGGACCAAATTCCCTTTCTCTCCCTCTTTTTTTATATATATATATATATATTATCCATTTTAATTTTTTAAAATGAATTTAATGAACAATATTATATTTTTTTTTAACTTCAAATTTAAAATTTACGGAAAATATAAAAATTAAATTTAAGTGTTTGAACGTACAAATATTAAAATATTAAAATGAAATGAAACTCATTTTTAAAAATTTAGATTTAAATTAAAGAAAAAACAAAATAAATAATGGAGTGGGTCCCACAATCCCAAATTAAAATAACCTAATTAAGAATTAAGGTAGAAATTCAAAATAAATAAATAAAAAAAATAAAATAAAGGCATCTAAATATACCGGGGATGGTGACGTGGCGTGGGCCCCACAATACGAGTCTAAAAAGATTCCAAGTCCACCCTCTCCATTTGGAATCCAAATCCCCCATCTCTTCTTTCTTTCTCTCCCTATAAATAAACCCTTAAATCAAATTCCTTTCCGGAGAACAAACGAGCAAAACAAACACATTTTCAATTCACACTAACCGTCCGATCACCAAAATGTCAGGCGTTTGGGTATTCCGATCCAACGGTGTGATGCGCCTCGTCGAAAACGCGCAGGCCGGCGGCGATTACTCCTCCGACGGCCACCATCACCACCACCACCACAACGGCGGCGGAAGAAAGAAGATTCTGGTTCATCTTCCTTCCGGCCAGCCGGTCACATCCTACGGATTTCTTCAGAAGATTCTGGAAGGTCTAGGATGGGAGCGATATTACGAAGGCGATCCCGATTTCTTCCAATTTCATAAGCGATCTTCCATTGATCTCATTTCGCTCCCAATGGACTTCTCCAAATTCAACTCCATTTATATGTACGATCTCGTCGTCAAGAACCCTAACGTTTTTCACGTCCGCGAGCCCTAATTTCTTTTTATTTTCATTTTTTTTATTCTCTCTCTGTAATAATAATCATTTGTGAAATCTTAATTCTGTACGTAGAATATGCTCTCAACTCTCTCTGGAGCTTTCTCTTCATAGGAATCAAAGTAATTTAATAAATTCTATCTTTATTTTTATTTTTCAAAAAATAATCTTTTCATCCATGATATAATAATATTTTTTCATTTAACAGACGTCGGTCGCTTAGTTCAACTTTGATCTAAATTTTAGTTCACTCGAATACTTATCAGTCTATCTGTAATTAATGGGTCGAGAAATTCACCTAAGACTAATAAGAAAAACTTCACTGTATATATATTTTTAATTTATTAAAAAATAGAAAAAGGAAAGTAATGATACATTTTAATATTTAGTTTTATTGTTTTTAAAAAAGGTTGAATAAACTCTATTACATAATTAAAATTTGGAGGATCAATAAGTATTTTTAGAAACAAAATTGGTTATTTGTTTTGTTTTTATTTTTTGTATTAATTTTGATTTTTGTATGGATGTGTAATGGATGGAATTATGTGTTCATAGGAATGAAAATGATTATATATTATATATTATATATTTAAGGGATTTGAAAATTGATATGATTATGAGACTTTTGTTTGGATGTGATTAAATGGTTTGACAAATGGAGTTCCCGGTTTGATTACGTGTACAGCGCATGCGTATGAACCTAAATTTCACGGACGGGGATTTTTTCTTTATTTATTTATTTATTTTAATTTTTTTATTTAAAAAATAATTGAAATAAAAGATAGATCCTATGTTTGTCCAATGCCATATGGCCAATAATTTAGTCGTTGACAATTTGAAAACTCTACTTTTTATTTTTTTTTTAATTTATTTAAATATTTTAATATTATGGCGTTTTAAAAGTGATTTTAATAAATGAGATTTACTGTATTTAAATCATTAATTAACTGCTAGGGTGGTCCAGTAAGTAGTAATAAATTAACAATGGAGCGGCTTAAATGTAAAAAGACTTTGAGGAATTAATTTCCTACCATTTTACCAAAAGAGCTTTAGAAGAATCCCCACCTAATAAAACAAATTAAAAAAAAAAAAAAATATATATATATATATATATATATAATAAATTAAAAAAAAAAAGAAAGAAAAGGAAGTGATGGAAAGTGGTTTGAATGATACGCTGTCCCCAAACAAGAAAGGGAAAAATAGGAGGTGATGCTGAGCTGTGAGGTCCCGGGAGGGAGAAAGGGGGGCACGGGGGGTTCACGTGAGGGCCAAGTGCAAGCTGCCACGTGGACGAGGGGCCGTCATGATTTTAATAGCCTTTCAAAGGCAGTGAAGCCAGGGGAGAATGTGAAGGATGTCAATCCCATCCATTATTATTATTTTTTAATTCCAAAAGAAAGAAAATAGCAACTGGAAGTAAAAAGGAAGTCCTTTTCCAAATACAGTACAAAATTATATATAATAAAAAAAAAAATTCACTCAATTTCAAAATTTGACCCCAAAAAAGGTATATATTTACTCACTGGTTCACGGGTTTTGAAATTTTTTCATCTCGATAACATAAGGTAAAAAAAAGTTATATCTTTATATTCGAGATAATGAATATTTACTAATGGATTTGTTTAACTTTTGATTATGAATCAAGAGGCTTATCGATCAACAATCAACTGATGGATCAATGATATAAAATTAATCGACTAATTGATAGACCATATACTTTTCCTCCTAAAATTATGTATTTAGAGAAATAAAGCTTCAAAACACCATATACTTTGAATTCTGGAGGTTTTGAAAGGGGCAGTAAAAAAAAAAAAAAAAAGGATAAAAGTTTGAACTTTACCCATAATGCTTTTAGTACTGACATAGGTTTGCACTTTACCCGTTCCAAAATCCTATGCAGCAGACTTGAAATGAAACTCATCTATGGTGGAATATATCAAACCTTCATCTTCAAGAGACCTTATGGAGTTCCTGAAAACAAAAAACAATAAATAATTAGAGAGTTAATTGCAACCATTATAGGAAGGGAGGTGGAGGAAGGAGAAGGCATACAGTATTTTCTCCATTGGAATCTTTAGTTGTTGGGAAAGTTCATCTCTGTGTATCCCTCTTTCTTTGGCACTGCAAATGACGAATATATTGTCCACTTTGAGCATAAGCTCTCGTAACTTTGTTTTTAATTTACTTAAAAGACCTTGTACCAATGAAGATGCATTTGTTACTTATAAACCCATAAGCAATTTCTTATTAGCCGACGTGGGACTACTCTCCCAACAATACCGTCAGTGGACACTAATTTTTTTTTTTTTTGGAAGATTGCAGTAGGGGTGGCCCACATGAAAGTTGAACCGTACAACCCTAAGGTCATACCTTGTCCCCTTATTATTGGGCCAAGGGCCAACTGGGTGTGGGTGTCTATGTAACCAATAATCAGAAGTGACCTGTGACTAAAAGTCAACCACCGACCTAACGTCTTGTTTGCTATTCATTGAGGGTTAACAAGTACTATGTATGACTCATAGTCACATCTGATGGATGGAATTCAATTCTTTAAATGTAAAAACCACCTTGTTTCCGGACGAAGGTCAAGCTCAAGTCAATCTCATATACGATAATGCAGAGTAACCAGCCAGCAAATAACATAATCTAGAAAGGAAAAGGAAATTTTGGTTTGGGACAACTTACACGCTGGAGGGCAGCTGAAGATAGTCGAGGATCAAGTCATCACAATTCTTCTTAACATCAACAGTGTGCTGCTCAGATGGCTGCAAAAACAAATTAGATTTGAATCCCAGTTGAATAATTAAGTACTGTGGTAATTTTTCAACGTAGGAACCCTTGAAAATGATATGATATAGTTCACTTCGCGCATAAACCACCTAATTTCGTGCAAAATTTCACACTGCCAACAATAATCGTGGTTTGACTCTTACTAGTACTGAAGATGCTGTCTGATATCCACTCGAGCCATTCTGCATTGGAGTCTTCACAATTGAATCCGAGGATTGGAACTGTGTCGATCCAACTCCATTGAGATTCTAGCAGTTTAAGCACAAATGAATTGAGAATTTTGATATTCATTAATAACTATTTCAATCATAAAAAATAATACAGTTAGAAGCACAGCTATCAAGTCAGCTCCAGCAACCAGTACCTGTAACTTGGAATTCCGCAAGTGCTCATGTATGCATTCAATAAAGTGGAAGGTAATTTCATCAAAATTTGTAATAGGCCTGACAAAACATATAACCAAGTTCATCATCTTTTTAATCGGTCAAATATACAACAGGAACAGAAAATTGTGCATTGGACGGTTTCCAACACCTCAATAATTACTTCATGAAAGAAGGCAAAATGAGAGGTTAATGCCATTTCAGAAAATTTCTCAAATGGATTGAATAAGAACTTTGAGAATTTCAAATATCAAATATCAACTTCAAAGCACCCAAATATCAACTTCAAAGCACCCAAAATAACAGTCCAAGCCCTCGGCTAGCAAATATTGTCTTCTTTAGCTTTCCCTTTCAAGCTTTCAAGATTTTTTAAAATGCGTTTGCTAGGAAGAGGTTTCCATACCCTTATAAGGAATGTTTTGTTCCTCTCTCCAACCGAAGTGGGATCTCACAATTACTCTGCTATGACACATTCCTCGAGACCTTCAACAATCTTATAAACAAAGGTAATGGTTATCTAATGCAAGCACTTCGAAAACAAGTTTTGTTATCCTGGCATGTGGAGTTTGCAATTTACGAGTACAATGAATAAAATGGTCGGCTTCGCTATTTGTAAGATGTGAAAAAAACCGGCCAATTGGTACCGATCCTACCCATTTCTGCTTAGGCTCTTCGTTCCTTCATGCCAACAACAAGTTCCTCTCTCCATAACCATCAAACAGAACTCAAGGACATTGTACAACAGTTCCTCAGTATTCTACCTAGAAATCAAGTAGACTCTATGCTGCTATTTATTTTAGAACTCAAGAATCAATGACCCTATTGAACAGATCCTACGTAAGGTGGTATATTTGCTACTACAGTGTAGTAGTACATATATGGCATTGAGCTACATCAACTTGTTTAATTCGCAATCCTTAAGTTTCAATATGCAATTAAAAAACACAAAGTAGAATGATAGCTTAATATGTAAAACATTTAACTTCAAAGAAGTACCCAAACGCGTGAAAATAGATTGAAGAGAATACAAACATCATACCTTACAGAGAATGCAAATATTTGCTTGTTACTTTGGAATATTTTCAAATGCCCATTAACCCGTATATACATTCCATCTCTATGCCAAAAGAAAAATCAAAGGAAGAGTCATTAAGACAACTATAGTATTTGTCATCACAAGAAAATCAAATTAAACAAGAACTTACTGTATTTCATCCATTTGCTTGGTGTCGAAAGTGTCATTTACCCTGAAATTTTTTTAACACGCATTCTTTAGTAATATGAGCTACACGACTTGAATAAAGATCGAGCTTAAAGGATTAGGATGATTGCAACTGCAACTGCAACAGTATACCATCTTTTGCAGCCAATTCTTCCTGTTCCATCATCTACAATGAATGTGATGTCCGTATTCCTTTCAGCTTTCTCAGAGACCTTCCCAACGATTGTAACCTTTTTCCAATAATTAAAGTGTCAGTATTTACAACAAAGAGAGCTAATTCATAGTCTGTGTGCAGAGCTAATCAGATGAAAAGACAAGGATCGGTAGAAACCTAAAAACTATATACTACAAGAAATACACATACACAAACGATCAAATCTGGAGAAGCCAGTCAGGAATACGTTCATCAACACGGCCTTTTAAGAAATGATAGCTTTCATGAAGGGAAAAGTTACATGTTACTTTCACATTAACATTTACTCTATATATGAAAATATATGATCGAACACTTTTTACACATTGCAGTGATTTCAGATTAATACAGTATATGGTAATATTCAACATTCGGCTAACATAATGCCTATACTCCTTTTCGGTCAAAGGTAGAAGAATCCACTAGCGACTGAACCACAGAAAAGAAACCTAAGAATTTAGTTTATGGAAAGCTTCATGGAAAGAGGCCCAAAATCAATGGCAAACGTGAATAACTCTAATGAACAAGAAAGTATTGCTACATTGACAGATAACATTAACATACGTTTGATTCAGTACTGCAATTTCTTGTCATTATTTGTAAAAAAATACTCTGTAACAGTGTTTAAAAGTGAGAAAGAAGACGAGGAAGTATACATTTGTAATGTCAACGCCGTTGATTACGAAGTTGGCCTTCTCTTCGCCAGAATGGGAAGCTTCGCTTATCTGTTTTACAGTTGCCGGAACCAGGCCCGGCGTTTCTCGATTCTGCATGGAAGAAATCAAAATGTATGATAATGGAAAATAGTAGAAATCGTAACAAACAGTCATCAATTGCTATCTTATTCACGGTTTCCGCTAGTGCTTGATCCAGTATCATAAATTCGACAAGAAAAAAATTGTCTACAGCCGAAAATAACAGGATGAAACAAATGAATTTGATCCTGATCTACACTTTTCACACCGTTTCGATCATCGTTCCGGCGATATAAAAGCGACTTAGGTTTGCACTTTTGCTCTCGCCGGATCCAAGCTATCCAACAACTTTAAGGAGTATTGATAACTCGAGAACCATTTCTATCTCTTAATTTCAAAAATATTCCCTCATCAAACAGAAATTTAGAAGTTATAGCATCGACTAACCTTCGCCGAAGAAGAGTCATTGGTCTGAGAAGACGTAAATCCACTGCCGGAATCAAACTGGCTGCTGGAGAACATTCTTTACAACCCTGCGATTAACAACTCGATCAACAATCAACAACGGAAAGCGGGTGAAGAATTGCTATGCAGTTATGAACTTATGAAGTAGAAGCTTTTCGTTTTCCCGCCACTGATTCTCAGATTTCCCGCCCGATCTTGCGAGCGGCAATGTCGATGAGCTGCAAAGCCCACAGAGCCCAATCTCTCGGTCCGTCCAAATTTATCGCATATACCTTTTTATTTTAAAACAAAATAAAAAATAAGTTTTTTTTTTGGGGGATAAAAAAGCATGTTTGGTACTTTTATTTTTATTTATTATATAGTGAAATTTATTTTTAAATTCAATTTTCAAATAAATTTAATTTTTATAAAATGAATTTTAAAAAATTTACATCTTATATTATTTTGTTTCTATTTATAATAAAACAATATTTTTTTATGTGTTAAAATCATAAATGGGAACATAATAAAAGAACTTTTTTTTTAATTTTAAATTTTATATATAATTTTTTAAAATATTTTTAAATTAATAAACAATAAAAATAGTTACCATACACTTCGGTTTGATCATTTTTTTCTCGGTGCAAATATTAATTCAAATATAATAAAAAAAAAAAGTATTTTTTATTTTATTATTGAATTTATCTTTTTTTTTTATAATAAAAATTATTTAAAAAATCTTTGAATATTGAATTTTACAAATTTGTTTTAACCTAATTTACTCGATTTGCTGATTTGGGCTTAATGGGCTGGGTTTCTGGCCCAAACATCCTCACAGGCCCAATAAATAATGGAATATGGGCCCTGGCCCGCTAACAAAGTGGGCTTTCGGACCATACCTTTATAAATAGTCTTTTGTTTTGTTTTTTTGTTTTTTCTTTTTTCTTTTTTTCACATCCAGCCGATGGGGGAAAATGTGTAGAAGAAGAGGAGCCTGAATTTGAAGCTGGAGGTCTCGTATGGCTGTACCGATACATGAAGATTCTCTGATTGCTTGTCGTCTCCAGTAAACCCTAATTCTTAGGGCGTTACCTTTCTTGCGATTATTTATCGAAAATTGGGTAATGGAAACACGCGATTCCTTTTTCGTTGTGTAGTTTTGTCTGAAGAACAGATTCTACAAGTTTTACGGGGTGAAGTAGGATAAATTTTCGATTCGGCTGATTTCAACTTATTGCTACGCGGCGTAGCTTCGTTCAAGTGAAGAATGGGGAAATGTATATGCAGCTCATGATCAGAGTTGGAAGTGATTTTCATACATTTGGTTGCTTGCTTGAAGTTGCGAAGGCGGTGATTGTCATCTGATTCGCCATCCGAGGAAGATTCTTGCATGATGAAGTAGCTAAATTATCAACTCAGAACGTATTGTATAATTAAGGTAGCCTAGATTTTGTCCCATGTCGGAATTTCAGGATTGGATTGAATGTTTATATATATATATAATAACAACCGGTAGCTCTGACATACATCTATCTTCCTTCCTTGCTAGAACAATGCCTCGTAAGGTGAGCTACGGGTTGGATTTCGATGAAGATTACGACGAGTACGACGATTATGATTATTACGACAATGACTTCGACGTAGAAGAAAAAGGCAGGGAACTTCTCTCTCTGACAACATTTCATTTTAGTATCTTCCATAACTCCTTCTACATTTTTTTTTTTTTTTTTTGAATTTAGCTATTTGAAGTAATAATATAGACTAAATGACTTGTGGAGCATTGCCGCCATGTAATCAATTAAAATCAAGGGTGGAAAGATGATTGACGAGCAGTGATTTGGTGATGAACAGTAGTTTAACTCTTGGCCCGTTATTTGGACGGGCTATAGTAAGCACAGCCTGCAATAAATTTGGAGTACACCGGTGTTGGTCCTATTCTGAATTGTCGTTTTTGCAATACGATCATATGGTGATATTTTGTTGCTTTTCTGTCTTACCAAATGTTTGGGTTTTGTTTACGATAACAGAGAAGACACCTGAGGCTAAGGAAGGAACAAAGGGGCACAAGCTTTGGCGATGCCCGATCTGCACTTACGACAATGAAGACAGTTTTACTGCTTGTGATATATGTGGAGTTCTGCGCATCCCTTTGGTCAACGACAGAAATAATCGCGATGATGGAACAGGTACTTAATCACACATTGTTAACATGATTTTGTTCACTATTTAAAGGGAAACAAGTGCTATATAAATGGATTCCACTGCTTTCGTTATGGCTGAGTTTTGTGCTATTTCGCTTATGGTCGTTCTTTCATTCATTATTCTCCTTTTTTTTCCCTCTTTGCATTCAGTATTCCACTTTTCAGAATTAAGATTTGTCGTATTAGGTAAAGGAATCAGCATTTGGTTTGATTTTGGAAGCTTCAAGAGAACTTGAATATTACTTCTTTTAATTTTTTGGATTGTTAAAAACTTCCCTTGCCTAGCTCATTCACCTTTCATAGATTAGATCTCTTTCATGCAGTTGAGAACATTTGCAAAGATTCTGGAGTATCCAAAATGGCCAAGTCTCTCTTTGCATCGTCACCAAATCAGATACCCAAAAGGGAAGTAAAATTTCAAGAGCAGAACGATAAATTTTTGGAGGAAAGAGAAGATAACATCCTCAAGATTGGGAATATCCGGGGCCATTTGCATGAAGTCCATAATGCTTCTAGTACCTATAGTCGTGTCCGTACTAATATAGGTTTGCACTTTACCCATTGTTTCAGTAAGATGTGGATCCACAAAATTAGAGCAAGTTGTTTTGTGGTCTGCTTCTTCACTATCTAGAGCCAGAATGACATTGTTTAATATTTCTAAACAATAATGAAATCCAAAACGATACCTATTGCTCCCTTGAAGACATCCAAAAAATAATTGCAAAATACTTCTGATCTACAAGTAATCACTCTAAGATATCTTCAAGTAACTATTCAAAGATATCTTTTCTTTGCTAAACAACATCTTCAGTTCATGACTGCATTAGATATCTAACCTCATTCATGTGGAATTATACAGTCCCTTTCAAGTTTGATATTCCATCCCCAGATGATGTGGTTTCTAAGGGATTGCGTTCCTCCAAAGTTGATTTAAAAGGTATACTTTGGTGGCTGCAGATTTTGTTGTTGCTTTAGTAATAGTTGAGAAGCAAAAATTAAATTGCTATTTAACCTGAGAAAGCAACAAAACCATGGACCTACATTTAAAAGATTTGATGTGTGTGCATCTGTCAAAACATCTGATAGATGTGAAAATCTTTTTACTTTGAAGAACATGAGGGATAGCTTGCATCTATTGGTTTAAAGGTTCAAGTTAATTACTTTAAGCATCTTTTCTTAGTGTCCAGTCCCCGAAGTAAGTGGGTGTCAGGGAAGTGAGTGATAGTTTAAGACCCCTTTATCAAAAACGTACTGCAGGGGGTGGGTTTACCTGCCTATATGTCAAAAAGTTCTATTATTGCATCTTTATCCTACATTCATTCGCAGGGGAAAATTTTATGTTCTGTGGTTTTTTATGTAGTAAAGTAAAGCTTTTACTGTGTTTTGTGATCCTTTATTGTGAGTCTAGTTGTAACCGTTTGGCCGCTTTCCTACAGTCTTCTTGAATGACTAGGACAAATTTACCTCTAGTATGCATTCTCCAAAGAAATTTTTATTCCGTTCTCTTAAATGATTGATTACTCCCCACTGCGCTTCAATTTGGTTCTGTTCTAAAGTCTTTCTGGATCCTTTATTTTCAAGTTCAAAAGCAGTTCATTCCTTCTGCGATTGATAGATCTGGATTATTTATTATTTAACTTATTTTGGAGATGATGAAAGTGGAATTAAAATACCATTGTTATCAATTTTGTTTGATCATTTCCATTACTCAGTCATCACAATATACTTGCTGATATCCAATGTACCACAATATTTTGACATCTTTTGTTACTCATGTTATATTAGGAGTACATCGATCAATCAATGGTAAAATTAGGCTTTAAAATGTGTCATCTAGTGGTTGGTTTTGGCTGCCAACTTGCACTTGGTTTCAGTTGGATGAATTTTCTGTTCCAATGTTTCTATTTCCGTGGTTGGTTGGTTATTCAGTCTACCTGTATCTCGATTAAGTAATAGATATCTTTGGAATTTCTGCTCCTAATGTTACCATCTTAAAAAAGTCTGCTTTCTGATGATTCACCATTTTCTAGCAGTCAGCCACAACGACTTCAACTCTTCAATATTATCTTCAGACGTCACTAAGAAGTGTGCAAATAATGAAGTATTGGCTTCAAAAGGTGCACATAGCTCGTCTGCTGTATTGCCGACGGGCAAATTAGGCAGTGTAGGAAATACACAGTTGAGTACCAAAAGTTCAGACAACTGGGGCACAACAATTGGAAAAAGTACAGTGGTCACTGAAGAGCACAATACGTCAATTAGTGTAACAAAAAATTCACGATCACGTGATAACAGGTCATCAAGCACTTCCACATCAAAATCAGCAGGCAAATTTGACAGCATGGATGAGAGCAGTAACCCTTCTGTGGAGCGGGAAAAGCCCCAAAGTCTTGCCGGTAGTTTGAACAACATGGTTCTAAATGTCAAATCTGCCTATGCAAATTATATTAGTGGGCTAGGAAAAACATCAAATGTGCCTTACAAGGTTGATAAATGGATGCTACCTGATAAAGCTGTAGATACTTTGACTCAGCTGAATCTTGCTATAGTAAGTCTACATATAACAGTGCAGTCTCGTGAATTATTTTGAAGTATCTTTTTAAGCCTTTTATAGAAAGGCATATGAATACTATTTTATTTAACATTTTGCAGGTTGGTCATGTTGATTCTGGAAAATCTACTCTCTCAGGAAGACTTTTGCACTTACTGGGACGTGTATCCCAGAAAGAAATGCACAAATATGAAAAAGAAGCAAAGTCCTTGGTAAAAAAAAAAACCTTATGCATTTTTCAGTCATCCTCTACTTAATGGCTGACTAATGATATTTTTTCTCAGGGAAAGGGTTCCTTTGCTTATGCCTGGGCACTGGATGAGAGTGCAGAAGAAAGAGAGAGAGGAATAACTATGACTGTCGGTGTCGCTTATTTCGACTCTAAAAGATATCATGTAGTTGTACTCGATTCCCCAGGCCATAAAGATTTTGTTCCAAACATGATATCTGGGGCAACACAAGCTGATGCCGCAGTTCTTGTTATAGATGCATCTGTTGGTGCATTTGAAGCCGGTATGGACAGCTCAAAGGGGCAAACAAGAGAACATGTGCAGTTAATCAGGAGCTTTGGCGTAGATCAGATAATTGTTGCCGTTAACAAAATGGATGTAGTGGAGTATTCCAAAGATCGCTACGACTTCATTAAACTGCAACTTGGAACCTTTTTTCGTTCTTGTGGTTTTAAAGATTCATCGTTGACTTGGATTCCGTTGAGTGCCATGGCAAATCAGAATCTGGTGAATGCCCCTTCTGATGCTCAATTGTTGTCCTGGTGAGTGCGCATGCATTCTTCCTTACCTTTCAGCCCATTGAAGCAAGATTGATTGAATAATGGAGTCTGATATTTCATCATTTATTTATCCTATAATTTTCTTAAAAGGACGTTTCTTCCATTTCTTTTGATAAAAACAAATTGGGGAGCTTTTTCCACTCTCTGCTCTCTGGAGGAAGATTATCCTTTTTTATTAAACCTAGCTTCCTTCAATAACAGTCGGTCACAACTATTGCCAAATACTAGGTGAAATACTCGGTCGGTCAGTTTGGTTTCCTGACCAACCGGTGTGCCAATTACCGAACGAGTAAAACTGACACTCTAACTGAAGGATATTGGGAAGTAACTGAACCAATCTATCTTGTTGCTCCGGTTGGTTCGGGGTTAAACTGCATTCCTACGTTTTCAGATGTCTTTGCTTGTTCTATTGGTTTCATAAACAATAATTTGTTGTATGCAGGTATCGTGGACCTAATCTATTGGAGGCAATCGATTCCCTTCAACCACCCGCTAGAGATTTCTCTAAGCCGCTGCTTATGCCGATATGTGATGTAGTTAGATCGCTTTCACTAGGACAAGTGTCTGCCATTGGCAAGCTGGAAGCTGGAGCTCTCCAGTCTGGATCTAAGGTACATGCTTCTACTTCTACGCTGAGTTTATGGAGAAGTAAAATTTTCCAGTTGTTACCTGCAAGGTCCAAAGTTGGCTGTTATTAATACAATAGTAATTTCCTTTTAACACTTTTCAAACTTCTAGAAGTTCAAATGTCATGTTTGTCTGTTTTTCGGTGTCATGTAGGTTCTAATCATGCCATCTGGAGATAAAGGCACCGTGCGCACTTTAGAACGCAATTCTCAAGCTTGCAAAATTGCAAGAGCGGGGGACAATGTGACTGTTAGTCTACAAGGAGTTGATGCAAGTAGCGTGATGGCTGGGGGCGTCCTATGTCATCCTGATTTTCCCGTTGCTATTGCAAAACATTTGGAATTGAAGATTCTAACCTTGGAACTTGCAACTCCAATATTAATAGGATCTCAGGTGCATATTCTTGGATTCTTTTTCGATACTGATTTTTCCCTTTTATTATTGGGTATTGATCCCAGTTCTTTCAATGAACAGTTGGAAGTTCATATACAACATGTGAAGGAGGCTGCTAGAGTTGCAAGGATAGTGTCGTTGCTTGATTCGAAGACGGGAAAGGTCACGAAGAAGGCACCGCGTGTTCTAAGTGCTAAACAGAGCGCAGTGATTGAGGTGAAAACCAAGTTTACATATCACTTTCTATTTCTATCTCCATTACACTTGCAGCAACGCATTTTCGATTTTCTTTGTTATTAGGTTATTTTACAAAGCCCAGTTTGTGTCGAAGCATTCTCAACTAGTCGAGCTCTCGGGCGAGTATTTCTGAGAGCAATGGGCAGAACCATAGCCGTCGGCATTGTAACCCAACTAATTGGAGACCCGGAATGATCATGTGTTGTATTTGAGGTGAACTTCTTGGCATAATTTTGAATTGAGTTATGTATTATTCATAGTGGAGTAGCTTCACTGCAGAAAATGGTTGGCGTATGAGCACCTATAGTAGTTGAAATTATAGTTGGAGTACATATACTAATAATTTCTAAGGGATTTTGCGTGTATGCCTATCATATTATTGGTTACTTTCCTGCCGTGTTTTAGAATGACTTCTTAAAATAGCGCTTTTGAGCAATTTTAGATCGAGCTTATTTAGTTTGAATAAGTTTTTATTAGATCAGAAGTCATATTGATTCAAACCCTTTTATTTAAAGGTCGATAATGGTAGAAGACGAGTCTCGTAAAATAGCGCTTTTGAGCAATTTTAGATCGCTTATTTAGTTTGAATAAGTTTTTATTAGTCCAGAAGTCATTGATTCAAACTCTTTTATTTAAAGGTCGATAATGGTAGAAGATGAGTCTCGGTATCTGATGGTAAGATACCTATTGTCGGTATATCATTTTTACTAGTACATGACATTTCCGGCCAATGCCCAACAATGGCGGGAGAGGAGGACGATTGAAGCACAAGCCTCTTAATTGATTCAATTATAAAAGTTTAGAGTTTAAATTGATTCACTCGTTAATCTAGGTTTTAATAGGTACAACTCCACCGAAGAGAGTTCATTTTTACAGGGGTTTAAAAAAAGATATCGAGGTTAAAATTTTAGTTGAATAAGTTAAATTACAAATTTAGCATTCGAAACTCAAGATTCTTCAAAGATTTGAGATACAAAATAAAATTTTCCACACGAATTTTCCACTGATGGCCTTTGGAATAAATTCATTACAGATTCGCTACCTGATGCTTCTTCCAAACGTGTAGGAAAAAACAAATCTAAATTTGCAAGATATAAAGAAAATGGCAGATCATCAAAATTTTGTGGTGTCAAGAGAATACAAGCACAAAAAATCCCAAGATTACAACACACTTCAGCTGCACAGCAGACTGTTCTTTCTATCATGAGCGTTTTAAATTAATTTAAAAAGATGTAATGTAAGGCTACTAAAATACCTCACTCTAGTGTGGTACATTCTTTGGCAGGTTTCGGATTACGTTGTTCTTCAATCCGATCTTAGTACGCATAGCTTCCAACCCGGTTCGATTCATTTCTTTCATCACCTTCATCCTGATCATCGTTTCTCTTGACTGGACAGTCGCTAATCCCATGCTCCTGTACCTGCAACTCAAAATGACGATCTCTCGTCAATATTTTGTTCGCCCATTAACTTCCTTGATTCAGTTAAAATAACGTATTGTTTCGAGCTCTTCGAGCTCCTCGATGATTGAGTAAGTTTTTTTTTTCACTTCACCCACCATTATTGAGACAAGGGAAGACCTCTTTTTAAGGGTGTCAAGTAGTTATTTTCTAAGGATTTTTGTAATTGCCCTCGGTGATTTTCTTTTCATAGCCTCATTTGAAATCCTTCAGTTGGCTTTAAAACAAATATAATTTATAATAGCTACAGGCCCTCATGGTAAAAGAGCAGAACATACCTTGCTGCCAATACAGCAGTTAAGAGCGCATCATTTGCAGGAGACGGTCGAGGCTTTTGACGATAATAACGTAGAAATTGTCTAGAACCAAGTGTTTTGGTCGATTGTCGATCGTTAGTTCTTTGAACTAAGATGAGCTCAGCTCCACCACTACCAAGTTCTACAGAATTGTCCCCAGCCCCTGATTGTACCAGCTGGTTGCTTCCATCCACATAACTATATGCAAACCATAGAAAATGAAAAGCAACAACTCAGAAATCATGTTTTATTTAGAGCTATATAAGAAGTGCAAATTCAAGAAATAGAAGGTTAAGCAGCACCTGCTACTGTAATCATAAAATTCCTCCAATTCTACTTCTTCGTTCTCGTCTCCATCGCCATAATGCACTTTGCAATGGCTTTTTGCTTCCATGTGCTTCCTAACAGCTTCCAAGCAGCTAAAAGGAAGACGATTATCATTGCAGTACAGACACCTGAAATCCCTCATCACCTGGAAAAATGCAAAATAGTACATCAACTTCTGGCTTTATTGAGCAAAAAATAACCAAGGAAAAAGGTAACTCAATTCGACACCTTCAGACCGAGGTATGTAAGGAAGCCTTTTGGATCCTTCAAATATTCAACATCAGGAATAAAGAATCCATGTTGCTTATGCATGTGGACCATGCAATTATCAACGGTGTCGTGCTTTAGATCACACATGAAGCAGCATGATGGATCGAAGTCCACTTCAATGGCATCAATATCATCGTCCTCATCCTCACCCTCATCGATCATTTCTTCGTCAGGATTAACTTCTTCCCACTCCTCCTCACTCTCTTCCTCCTCACTCTGTTGGGGTTCCTTATTGGAAATCCGCTGAGGAAGGGGCTTAATTATTGGTTTTTCAACTTCTTGATCATGTGTTCCTTGCGAAACCCGGATAGTGTGACTCCTAGATTTAAGATGTTGGGCATGAGCCTGGGCACTCCTATAAGCTTTGCTACAAAGACCACAAGAGTATAGCATCGAGGTCTCTCTTGATTTGGCATTCTCTTGTGCAGCAGCAGCAGATTGTCTAGCTAAAAATAATGCCTCTGTCACCCCAGGAACATTAGCTACCTGATTTATTCACCAGATAAATGATATAAGGAAGGGTAAATTTTCAAAGAAATGCGATACATCCTGTCCATTCCAAAACACTGAAATACTACAGAAACATCAATTATCAACAAAACCGTTATCCCTTGGAACGCCTATGGCCTTATAAGTATCTACAACAACATGAAATCTAATGAATGTTACTGCTTATCCACCAAGGTGACAAATTAGAGTCCCAAAAAACTTCGGGTATCTATTGGATATATTGGAAGTCTGGAAAGCATATTATGCTCCATATGAACAAGTTCATACTATGGCAAATAGCAAAGGATAATTAACCCCTTGAATGCAGGCCATGTTCTTTCCCTATTGACCATTGTAGAGCTAGTAAATACGTAGAGAATATCAAGCTTCCAGAATATGCACCTCATAACCCCTACAAACGCTTAAACCCGTTTAAGACCAATTCCCTAGAACTGATTAAGACAGCAGCTAGAGGCACTAGAATTTGAAGACTAACCATATCACAACACGAATAATGCTTTAGAACAATCACTTGAGCAGAACTTATTATAAAAAAAAATTAAAAACGCGTAATTATCGGCATTTCTGTATATTCATACCAAGATATCAAACATTCACATCAAGATTTTTAACAAAGAAGACAAATACTGACGTCCGATTCAGAAGAATCAGGCAACGATGCGTCGGAAGCCAATAACAACACCCGAACAGAAAGGAACATGAAATCAGCAACAAAAGAAAAAAACGATTCTATCTCAAGAACAAAAGACATAAACCCCCTGCGCCACCAGAAAGCCAAACCGATTGCGCTCAATTATCGGCATAACACAAGTCTTACAGATAGAGAGAGAAAGAGGACCTTGCGCTTAAGATTGTATCGATGCCATTCGGACTTGTAGTGAAGCTTTTGCTCCTCGGCGTCTAGAAATTCTTTGTTACAAGCATTACATGTTAATCCCGTCATCTTTTCTCTTCCCAATCTCTGACGCTAACTCCTCTCTGCAGTTCTGATTCGAACTTCAATCACCCGATTCTGAGAAACGAAGCAACCGATGAAGAGAGGGAGAAAAATCAAAGAGAAGTAATATGGCGCCGACTGCCGACGGCTCGCGACTCTAAACAGACGAATGCTCTAGCGTGACCAATTAGCAATTTTAGGCCATCATTTTGGGCCTTTATTGGGCCGTAGATTGTGCTAATGGGCCTTCTTTCAGAACATTGCAGTCCTGATTGGGCCGTAATTTAACTCACTTTTATATATATATATATATATGTATTATTTTTATTTTTACTATTTTTAAATTTTGGAGTATATAGCTAAAATTAAACTATACCTTGTCTCCTCTAATTAAATTATATATGACTTTTATCATTTAAACTATTATTTATATTAATTATTTTAATCATTCGACCATGTAAATTGGTATCTCCTTTTCTTTTCTTGGTTCGTTAAGGTAAGTTTTTGACTTCTCGAGGTCTCATTTAAACACGGTTCAATATAATACGATTCAAATAATCACGAACTCTCACAGGAAACTCTTAGCCAAGAATTGTTATATCGAATTAACACTTGCAAATTTATAATATCCAACTCATACGCTATATCTGTCAGATATTTTCAGCTTAAAAAAATGATTTATTAATAAAAGCTGTTTGAGCATGTATACTTTAAATTTTAGTTCAATTTAGTTATTTGATAATTTATATTTTGATCCACATACTTTTAATTTTATTCATTTTAGTCTATATATGTTTGAAAATTTCTATTTTGTTCCTTATACTTTAAAAAAATAGCTATAAATGCATATTTAGGGGTTTCGACTGTAAATAAAATTTAATAATAATTACATTTCCAGCCCCTAAGTTTTGAAAAATACGTTCATGTACCCATGAGATTTAAGAAGAAGACATTTTAGTCCCTGCAATTTTGAAGGTACCTTCCCGGAAACTCTTTTCCCGAAGAATTGTTGAATGGCGGCGTCCGATCTTTCGGTGGCAGTGGAAAAATCCACCGGAGAATAATCCACGCGTTCCAAGTTCTTCAATCTGTGAGAATTAGTCCAAGCTGTGTGTGTACTTATTTCTTCTAGTATCTGTTCTCTCGCCGTAAAGTCGATCTCAAAAATTCTCCCTCCATGGCTTCAATGGCGGCGTGGTTGATCGGAATAATAATCGTACTCTGCCAGTAAGTACTCTGCAATAATCTCTTCATCTTTTTCACTTCGATTTTTCGATCTTACTGGAAAGCTTGATGAAACAATGTTTTAGCTAATTAGGTTTTATGGATTTGTTTGATGTATCTCAGAGTCTCCACGCCATCGGCGCAGGGCGGCGGTGGCGGAAATCCAATGTCCATCGTAATCGCTTTCTGTGAGTACTCTGTAATCGTCGTTTTTATTGCCGGAATATTGATGTACTCCTGAGATTGAAAGCCGAGGTTAATTGTTTGGCCTGCAGCGGTGGTTGGCTCTGTGGTTGGATTGCTCATTCTCGTGGCGATTGGCATATTCTCTTACAAATTTGCCAAGAAAGTTGTAAGAGAATGGAGAAACACATCGATTCCACCGCCGGATCTGGAATCGGCGCCGGTAGAGATTTTGGAAAAAGATGCATCGGAAATGGATAGATTCCTCCGAGAAATCGCCGACGAATATCCGATTAGATTCACCGCTCAGCAACTCAACGTCTTCACGAACAACTACGCAACGCGCCTAGGATCCGGCGGCTTCGGCGATGTTTACAAAGGTCAGTTCCCAAACGGATTGAAGATCGCAGTGAAGATTCTCAAGAGAAACTCCGACAAAAAAGCTGAAAATCAATTCATGGCGGAAATCGGAACAATCGGCAGAACGCGGCATCGAAATCTTCTCAGGATGTACGGATTCTGTTACGACGAATTCATGAGCGCGCTGGTTTTGGAGTACATGGAGAACGGATCGCTCGACAGATTCTTGTACGGAAAAACCAGGAACGAAATCGTTTGGGAGAAATTGCAGGAAATCGCGATCGGAACCGCTAGAGGAATCGCGTATTTACATGAAGAATGCCATAGAAGAATCATCCATTACGATATCAAACCTGCGAACATTCTATTAGATGCGGATTTCTCACCGAAGATCGGCGATTTCGGACTTGCGAATCTCTGCAACAAAGACAACACACACGTATCTCTCACAGAATATCGAGGAACTCCGGGATTTTCGGCACCGGAGCTCCTGAGATTCAATTTTCCGGTGACTTTCAAGTGCGATGTATACAGTTTTGGAATGGTGCTGTTTGAGATGATTGGAAGGAGGAAGAACGCCGAAGTCAGTCCGTCCGGGAGCATCGATTGGTTTCCGATTCAGGTATGGGAGCAGTTCGACAAGGGCGAATTAGTGAATATGAGCGGTGAATGTAATGTTGAAGAGGATGGAGAGAGGAAAATGGCGATTGAGAGAATGTGTATGGTGGCTCTCTGGTGCGTACAGGACACGCCGGAGGATCGACCTCCAATGTCGGCGGTGGTAAAGATGTTGGAAGGGAGCGCTGAAATAACACCGCCGCCGAAGCCGTTTCAATATATGTATCCGATTTCCACAGATACAAGCGCCGTCACCGCCGTCACCACCGTCACCACCGTCACCACCGTCACCGTCGCCATGGATTCCGAGCAAATGAGCTCTGGTTCGACTCCGAGTCCGATTTGGTACAAGGGCTCTGTCCCTATTTTGAGAACTTAAAAAAAAAGATTATCATTAGTTTATTAAAAAGTAAATAAAATTTTGCAAAAAAAACCCTAAATTTTAGAATTTATTGCAATTAGTCCCCGAAGAGATGACAAATTACATTAACTGCCCTAAACAAATTATTTAATTACAACTCTTTATCGCGAAATTTAAATTATTTAAAATTATTATCTATAAACATTTTAATATTATTTTACAAATTTGATGATTATTTTAAAAAATGTGGTATTAACGTAAATATATTTTTTAATTTGTGTTTTTTTAAGATTTTAAAATTTTTTAAAGGTATTAAATTTTTTTTTCTTTTAATAATACTCAAGGGTATTATTGAAATTTAGTATTATTTTTTAAACAAATTTAAATATTTAAATATATTTTTGAAATCAACCATTTCCATTAAAACTATAATAATAAAAATATTTTTAAATATTAATTTAACCTAAAATTTATTATTCACTCCCTCATTTAGAAATTACTGTAAATACGTCGAACGTTAAGCCCCCTTTTGCAAATATTACCAAGTTACCATTCACGGCGACGCAGAGAAACAAAAAAAAAAAAAAAAAAAATGGAAGGCGGTTGAATGTTTGAAAAAATTCACTGACCAAAATATAATTGACTATATAGCCCCTTCGTGTAGCACAAGATCGTAATTTAACAAAGGTTATTATTGTCAAATTACAATTACTCTCCCGGGTTTGGCCATTTCTCCCTCCATAACTGGAAAAGTCCCATTCTCGCCTGAGCGAGCAAGGTATTCCTCACTGTGAACTTCCATGGCGTCTTTTCGTGGATATAGCGAGGCAGCAGGGTCAAGATCCGGCGGGAAAATTGTTCGAGCTAGGCGAGCTGGAACTAGAAAGACTCCTTATGAGCGTCCGGGGCTTTCGAATTTGGGCTCTGGAGAAAACCCTAGTTGGATCTCCAAGTTCATTTTATCGCCTACTCGTACCGTTGCTTCCAGCGCCGGAAAGTTGCTATCCTCCGCCTTCGTTTCCGACTCCTCGTCCTCCTCTTCGGACAGTGATTCAGGTTGGCTTAATTTAAACCGAATTTTGGTGTATGTTTTTTCGAACTATGCTGATGGATTAGTTGTCATATTTAGGGTTAGGAGTGGCTGATGTGTTTATTGTTGTTTGATGTGCTTCGAACTGTAAGCTCATTGTAAGGAAATGGAAAGTAAAAGGGGTATTGAACCTAGTTTGATCTATTTTAGAACAAGAAACAGCATTTTCATTGTTTTTGAGACAAGTTACAATCAAGGATCTAGATTCTCTTCTGGGAGCTTATTTGAATACACCACAATTAGAACCAGCTACGAAAAAGTATAATTAGAAAATGCCTTGGGAAATCTTTTGATGACTGAAGAGCAATAAAATTTTCTAGTGCCCTGGCATTTGTAAGAGTTAGTGCGATTCAATTAGGGTTTCCTTCAGGGCCTAAATTTGAAAGTCCAAGACGATCTTAAGGAGTCCTTAACTCCTAGTTTGCTTGGCTCGAACCATTTTTCCATTGGTTTGATTGGAGAATGCTACATTTTTGTCTTGAAAATAAGGTCGATATTAGAGCCTTGATCAATATTGTTGTTGGTATTCCAAAAGTACCTTTTCGGAGTCTTGGAGAGGAAGATGCATCGTGGGTTGACCTATATGAAGATATTTATACTTCTTTCCACATGCGGAAATATGAAATTCAAACTCATGTGACAAACCACGAACCTAAAAGAATCACTAACGACCGATAGCTGCAGAAGTAGGGATAATGGCACTAGATATAATATTGTTTCCGTGAAGTAGAGATCCAGAAACAGGTTCACGAATACCATCAATATCTACTGGAGGAGCAAGGCAATAATAAATACAAAAGTCAACCCAACCGGCGATTTCCGATACGTCTTTCTTCATTTTTCAAGCAAGCCATGGCATTTAGGCATGTAGGAGCAAACAACGGTGAAGCTGCATACTCAAGATGCTCAGGCATGACCTTTTCAATTTGGTGTTGATCACTGAGGCCATCTCAAATCACTTGACATTAAATATATACTCGACGGCCATCTTCCTAAAAGATAATTATATCATCATTGACTTATAAGTGGATTGTACGAACCCTTTTATCACTGACTCAAAAACCTTCCAATTATTCTGTTTCATTCTTTGAATGATCATGCTACCAAGAACGGCTCTTACAATGACAAATAGGAAGGGAGGAATTTGGTTCCCTTATCTTAAGCTCCTTGCTGCCACCACTACTTCTTCAGTGATATCATTTATCATAGACATATTTCTGCTCAGGACGTTCAGGAAATATGTGATTCATTTGCAATTGAAACTTGGGCTAAATTGATGACTAATCATACATCTTTTAAGATGTATATTACATTCATATGGGCCCTTGCA